TTTTTTTTTTTTTCAAGTTCTAATTTACGTAAAATGCTTTGCCATTTTTATTCCAGGATTTTTACGACTGAGGAACAGCTACTGACGGATCATGTAACTTCAAAACACTAATTTTAGTGCTCCTCCATCGTGTCCGCTTACGATGTACTACTGGGTAACTTTTATTTCTTATTATTATAATCGGTGATATAATATATAATCAGTTCTTGTTTATTTGTTTCTTTTGTACAGAAAAAAATCATTTACTTGACGTTTTCTTTGTATTTATTCAGAGGAAATCCAAGTGAACTTTCTGCAGTTGTTTTACTTATTCATTTTTAACATTGAAACTAGTGTAGTTACACGAATAACACTTTGGTTGCTTTGGTGCTAAACTGTTATGGAAAATGCTTGGCTGGTTCGCCGTCGTTAACTTAAGAAAACAGTAATTTTTATAATGCTTCACTGCTGAAATCAATTTAGTACTTTTGTGTTATCAGTTGGAGATTTCATTGATTTATTTTTCGAGATGAGGATTTCTTTAATTTAATAAGAGAGAGTGTTCTAACTTCAGTTTCTGTTAGTTCCAAGAGCTAAGTTTCTTGATGAAATCTTGTTGATTTTTTTTAGTATTTTTTAGGAATGGAATTTCGTTCCAGATAGTCATTATAACTGCACCAAGTAATAATTCTTTTGGTATTTTGAGCTGATGGTATTTTGCGTCTTGTAACTGAAGATTGGTCACGAATTCCACGCTCTTTTTATCACAGTCACACCTGTTTGGTAATTTTTCCTTCTGATAACTTTCAAACATCTTAATTGTTTTCGAAGTTTTCAGAATTTTTTTAAGCTTTCTATTTTTCTTGGGCTTTAGCTAAAGAATCAACATTATTCCTTCGTTAACGTCGTCCTCTGACTGAAAAAAGGTTTAGACGACGCATCATATCAACAAGATAATGCTGAAAAAAGGTTTTTGGAGACTTAAAGAAAAGTTGCAGCTTTTTATTAGCAATAGATATGAGTTTGAAAGAAAGCTAATAATTCTTTAGAACTGTTAGTTTGACTATTATCTATTTAAAATATGATTTATTACGAAGCTTGTAGGACTTTTTCTGGGAATTAACTTCATGTTATAGAAAAATGACCAAAGTAACCGTTAACTTTGGACTGCATTCAAAAAACTTTAGTTTTTACAGATGACATGTAAAATTAAGAAGAGTGAGGTTTAAAAGAGACGTCACATTTGATTCGAACAATAAATTTAAAGGGATGTGAGGGTTCAAAGCTCGCTTAGATGCAACAGAATTTTTCCTCAGTAGTCAGTTGCTTGCTTAACTGTCGTATTCGAATGTTAGTTTTTTGGTAAGGGCTTTACGACCAGATTATTTTGAACTTATTTATATAGGACTATTTAAAAAGTTGTTTTTAGCTTTGACCATGATCTTTCGTCGCGATCCATGCGGTATATTATGTACGTTAATGGCGTACGGGTGTATGATCTATGCTGATTTCGTTGTTATTAACTGGATTATTATTCCCACTTATTCACAAAGGTTTTTATTATTGGTTAATTTTTCTTTAACAATATGTCAGGTAAAAACTTGTATCAGTCCTTGGCTTAAGAAGCTTTATTCCAAATTCAGGATTTTTTTATTTGTCTTTTTTTGCAGTTTATGGGGTGTTGTCCACACAGTGATTTTTAACACAGTTTTGCTCTTTGCTTTGATAGCTCATGTTCGAGCGATGTGCTCTGATCCAGGAATTGTTCCAATAAATAGAACTTTGTAAGTTGTTAGTTCTGAATCTGATAAGTGCTTTGTGTTTTGAGAACTTCAGATTGCTTTTTTTTTTTTTTTTCAATTTGTAAAGCCTTCCTTACTCTAGACTCAAAGTCGGAATACTTTTCAGTTGTGCCCAATGCTGCTAGAAAAGTTTTCTCAAATCTGTTTTGTTTTTAGTAGCTACTTTAAAGTGCGACCACTTACAGCGATTACACATTACATTTCAGAAAAGGTGGTTGGAGGCGAGTAAATGGTGCTTACGACGACGTCATGACAGATACAGATTACGAAGAGTCTGGCTCGGAACGGGAAACAATGATTGGTTCTGATGATTACGTCGTATGTTTGATGATTATTTTTTTTCTCATTTTCCTTCCAGTCATTAGAGGGCGCACTGCGCAAACAAGTTTGGTTTCAATGTTTTTTAAATCTCCTGTGAAAAAGTAGCTTTTTTATCCGGACATCTGTCTTTATTACTTTAGGCAGTCAAACCTTTTTCAGATCCATAAACTTTTCCATTTTCTTATCGCAACCCAAAGCTGTAATTTTTATTGTAGTTTTACCTACCTGCCTGCTAGTGTTGTGGGCAGTCTTTGTGGAAGGAGTTTAGGAAGAAGTATCAGAAAATTAATCAAATGAGCTAGATGTTAACGGTCAAATTCTGTTGAATTTTTCGCCCATTATTGTTTTTGACAAGGATTTTTTGTTAAACTAAGTATCAGATTGGTAGTTCAAATTTGTTTGAGGTTCTTCTGAGGGTAGGCCTTTTAAGTCGAGATCTATCTGCTTTTGTCTTCCTAGTTTTCTTTCGCTTGGGTCGTGTGAATTATAAATACTGTTTGGCTATTAGATATCTCCTGTTATAACGACTTACGATGTAGCACTTGTGGCATATCGTAATAAACGGGACAAAACTTGACAGTATAGATAGGATGGTTGTGAGAAAAATTAAGGTTGCAAATCGTGCCATCAATTTTTTTGGTTCATTTGAAGTAAATTTTTTAAAAAAATTTTAATTTGTAGAATAGACCCATAGGAAAAAGTTTAACTTTTTTTTTCACTTTTTGCAGTATTGTATAAATAAAACGTCCGTTATTTTAATTCCACATTTCTGTTACCTCTGACTAGATTTTAGGGAGAAGACTGGTCTATTTGCATTAGGTGCGAATCTTATCGTCCACCTCGTGCCCACCACTGTAGGATTTGCAAATGCTGTGTAAGAAAAATGGATCATCACTGTTAGTTGCATTATTGGTTTTCTAGTTGAATTTTTAAGTTTTCTTTTTCTGCATTTTGACTAGTCCCATAAAAGAGTTTATTTGCGTCTAAGTTTGGTTTACTGCCTTTAACAGTTATAATTGAATTTACCATATCATTCTGTTTTGTTTAGGTCCGTGGGTGAATAACTGTGTTGGTGAATTTAACCAAAAGTATTTTTTACTATTCCTGTTGTATGTTGGCCTTTCGGCTACATACGCCTTGGGGTAAATTATTGAACGTCAATTCTTTATCCAGTAAATCCAATAAATTTTTTTGAATGGTTTTGAAATTTTGTCATCAGTAACTTGACCTTTTTCAGCTTAGTGATTGCGGCTTGGTTAAGTCACGACAAATTTAGTCCTAATAGTTCGAATACATTGTATGTACAGAAGGTCGAGCATGCTAAAGTGTAAGCGTCCCAAATACATTTTGAGTTTTTCCTGTTTATACTTCATCCTCTCGAGAAATATATTACACTTTGAAAATCTTACTCATTTAATTGATTTTTTTTTTTTGCAGTCTACACACTATATTTTTGTCGATTGTTAGTGCTCTTTTTGGGCTTTTTGTTTTGGCCGTTGCTATTGATCAAGTTAGTTTTACTGGTTGTTTTCTTATATGATACTTTCTGCAAACCAATTTTCTGTTTATTGCTCCCTGAGTTTTTTTAAAAAGCCGTAAATAACGTTTTGAATAATTATTTTGCAGTTGCAAGCCATTTTTAACGATGAAACAGCAATTGAATCGTTACAGCGCAGAGGAGCAAAATATAGAAAACCATTACGTTCTAAACGGGCGCTGTTGGCGGAGGTTTGTGGAGGAGGTGAGCGCGCAAAATAAGAATATTCTTTGAAATATATATCATAATCAGGAAGCTAAATATTATTTTCGCTTTCCTAATTCCAACTACTCTCTAAAATAATTCTTGCAGGGTCGATAGTTTCTTGGTTCCTGCCGTGTTCGTCGTTGACATCGGAACGTGATATTGTAACCTTCGCACAGCAAACGCGACTTGATGTGTAGCAGATTTTAATAAACTTCAGCTTACCAAATACTGTCGTTGCTTTTAAACTAATATTTCCAACTGACCATCAGTTGAGACATGGTGAAAAACAATTTCGTCAACACGCAGTCATTTTTTTCTGAGAAATGCTACATCTTTTCCTAGCTCTTACTTTTATGCTCTTCATTTTCATGTACGTCCTTAAGACATTGCTGCAACTCCTTTTTGAAGAAAGCACTACGGCGCAAATCAAGTTACTCAAGCTGAGTTAACAGTTAGGCGATCATTTTAATTCCCCATATGTCTTTCAGTACGCAACCGATTTATTGTCGTACTAAATCTTTGGACATGTTATCCTTTTGGTTGCTGCATATAAGTTGTAATTGAATACGCCCATGGTTGGTCTCATAAAAATAACCGTTTCCAAACGTTAATACTAAACTGTAACCGAGTTCAACGTTGGTGTACAAAAACTGGTCAAAAAAATCAGAATTTTAACTCTATTTCGAGTCAAACCGTAGAAGTTGAAGGTAGGCCTGCAATATCTCTTCTTGGTAAGGTAGGAAAGCATCCAGTGTTGCCAGCCATTCTAGACGATGGGGAGTCGTATAAGAAGCTGGATGATGATTATTTGTACCATCTTGATGAATGTTACTGGCGCTGATCTCTGTGCAGTTGCTAACGTACTGTCCGCCTGGATCGGCAGTTCAACCGTCTTAGTCGCCTGGAGACGGTGGATGCTGCGACTCCAGAACTTCCTACTGAGTCGCAGTGAACTCCCTCCTGTGCGTAACAAGTAGTCAAACAGCATTCCCACCGCTGCATCAGCTGTGGCAGCTTGACCCATTGGAACTTTTAAAACTCGAAAACTGCATCCCATAGGAGCTGAAGAGTGAAAATTACCGGGGTTGCATCTGTTAGTGAAGCAAATGGGAGCTCTTTGGCTACCGGGCGTACGGGGAAAAAGAGAAAAGTGGAAGGTGACAGAAGATTAAACGGAATTCCACTGTCCGCTGGTGATCATTTCGTATAACAGACAGAGATAAAGAACTAAAGCTTGTGAGCCCGCGCTGACCCTACGTACTACTGCTATCTTCTCTACCGCATACCTCTCAAAAGGTTTTTAACGCCAAAGTCGGAATTTGTATTTTAAAAAATCACAACATCTTACTCCCTTCTAGTTTATACGAACTCAAACTTACAAGTTCGGCAATAAACTGTTTTGCCTGACCAACACAGATTAGAATGAAAGTAAGACGTGAAAGTCTTATCAAGATGATGAAAGACCCAACTGCTAAATTATAATTTTGTTTTAAAGACCAATATGTTGCAATTTTACAAGTTTTAGAGGCAACCTCCACATAATCACCGAGTCGCCAAAAAACTCTATCTGTAACAATGATCCGCTTACTTAACAGTGAATGGCTGTAAAATGGTGTTTGCGATCAATCCTACAAACTTCTCCATTTACTGTATAACGGGATTTATTAAGCTTCACGGCTGCATGAAATGAAACAACATGAAAAACAAAAACAACTTTTGAGAACGCTCACGGACTGTTGCAAGTTTAGTATGAAGCATCAATACTACAATCGGCTACTTGCAAAATCGGTTTCATTAAATCGAAGGGAAACGCTACATAGTCAATTCCATGATTGCATTCACAATATCATTGTCTGCTTTCTTCAAAGCTTTAATGGCCTTATTTCGCGAAACGCCAGCTTGGGATATCACCTAAATACACATCTGTCGACAAAAGAAGAAAAGAAGTGATAAACTTTCGTATTGTCCTTGCTCTGCCACATGTGACTTTACTCGGGAATTGTTACACCACCGAGTTTTAATAAAGTCTCGAGATGTAAGCACTCATGTTATAACGCGATCAAAATCTATCTTACCAACTCAATGTCCTTTTCCTCTATGCCACTTGCGTCAATGTCACCTTCATTGTCGCTCTCCTCCTCAGCTTGAGGCGCAGGATTAACGTGCAAACCCTGTCCCGCAACTGGAGTCTCACTTGGTTTTAGCCGTTCAGCAGCGGCGAAACGCGCATGTTCACTAAGGTCTTCAATCTGAAAGGGAGAGATTCCACTTTATACAAGCCAACAGTATCTAGTAGCGGAGAAGCAGAATGACATTTTAACCATTAAAAAAATTTTCAAATTACCTTTGCTTCACCGAAGACAATGTAGGTATCAGATCCTGGACTTTTGTAGACATCGGGCTTATTAATAACGAAAAGGATGTTTTTAGACTTACGAATACACACTCGTGAAACACCATGAACAGGCTTCAAACCTAATTTGGTAAATAGTTTACGGGCCTTCTTTTCTGAACGTGACTGCTTGTTACCCTTGTCGCCAATTACCTATAGTAAATACGAAAAGATATTATATGTTCCTTCACCAAATAATAGCTATTTAGGACTAGATGAATCGGAGAATGCAATAAATGCGAAAACAAATGTACAAAATTGCCCTTAAATAATCCTCCCACCTAACCCACCATACTGAAAAGTTCCCGAAAAATTTGCGGCGTTATAGTCGAAACTTGTGATCTAAAGAAACCATAGCATTTTAAAATACTCTGCTCAAGGAACTGAAGTAATCTTTAAAAATACGGGCATATCAAAAAAGCGTTTACCCTTACATATCCCAAAATTCTTGTTATTAACCTGTTCAAACAAAAAATGCTGCCATTCAATAAACAAAAATAAACATTTGTACTGTTACTGAGAGTTGCTGCAATTTTGAACTTGGCCTATCCGAAAGTAATACCCGTCATGAACTAAAAGAAATGTATTGTACGCAAAACAGATATGTTAAAGCCTCAAACACCCCAAACGTAGTGCAACTCCTAACACCCTAACAGTTCCGTGAATGGCTTTTTGGGTGCATCTTTTCAATTCCTTTATGTAGATTCCAAAAGAAGTTTAAACTGTATAAATCGTACAAATTTTTACGTAACAGACCTGTTCACTTAAACCAGCAGCCTCTGCAACTTTCTTCTGCGCATCGGTCACCTCTCCCTCCTCCAGTTCTGGTATTTCGTCCTCAGAGGAATCCGATGTCGCATCCTCATGTGACTAAAATGTTCCAATCAACGAAGCGGCAACGAGAACACAACTCAAGTATAAACGCTAGATCTGTTCCAGAAGATTTCTGTGAGAAATACTGAAGATTTTACTAATTCTCGATAAGATAAAGCTGGCAAATGAAGTCAAGAAACTGATCACTTTCATTAACAAACCTTCTTCACCTCCTCCTCCT